ATGTTCCACCATGCAATGAGTCATCTACAAAATGCTAGTTACGTACTCTGAGAGGTATATACTACTCCTGAAGAGTTTCAGCTGTTTTGGAACCAATACCTTCCGTGGTGTTCTGAACTCTTAACAGAAATCAGTGGGAGAAAGTCTATGTGTCTGAGGCTTTCAAGGATAATACCCTTAATTTTTAAAGCCGTGGCTGTCTTCTGGCAGATAGTGAAAAGAGCTGAATGAAAAGTGAGCTGAACCTGTTTACTTTTAAAGCCTGCAGATAAACCCGTACCTCTTCTCCCTTCACCTTTTTCCACATGAACGTGCAGGACCAGATCTTCTGCTGATTATGTCTGCTTTTAATTGTTTCGCACTATCAAAGTGATTTCTAGGAGCAAGCTCATACTTTGATAATGCAATTGGAGGTGTATAAAACTTTAAAAGTATAATCAAAGCACAGCATTTTAGCTGATACTAGCCACTGATTCTTCCATTTTTTATTCCTTAATTCAGCCATCTGTTGTTGTCTAGATTCAGCAACACAGGAAGGATGTAAGACTAATATATGTTGATTGAAAGACCAAAAAAAAGAACTACTTCAGAGAATTTGCTGTATTTTAAGACAATATACTCTAAATTGCTTCTCATGTTCCGTACCTTTCATGCCAGTCACAGTGTGGAAGATGTATATGCCCTTTCCTTCAAAGATGAAAATGCTAGAGCCATAGTATTCCATTTGTGAAAGTTGAAGGGATGAAATACAAATCTGACCAAAAATTGATGGATTTATTTTCAGTGGTTCTGGAAAGTGTTCTAAATATCTAACTAGGTGATGCCAATGAAGAAGATATTTCGCTCTCATTTTGAGAGTTTCAGGATTCACCGGTCTGCACCTTTAGTTCCCCTGTCACATAATGGTATATTGCAATTATAAATTGTGATAATTGTCTACAAACATAAAGCTTAGTTGTCTTTGGGAATGTATTCTGAGCCCTGAAAAAAGTGTGCAAATTTTGATACAATGCTTACACAAGCCTATATAAGGCAGATGAGTTTTGAGGGAGCTAAATGCATTTAGGTGCTTCACTTTAGAAACTAAGTTAGTAATATGTGGTATTGTAGGAAACTTTCATTTTCTTCTTAACATATGTTAATGTATCTCACACATGAAAGCTTCATTTTTAGAGAGAAAAAAAAATCTAACTTACATATTTATAGTTCTAAAAGCAGTAAGAGTGTCAATGTTTCCATTACATATCCTTTGTAATGGATAAACAGGGAACTGGTAACTTCCCTTTTACTTCTTCTCAGGTCAGTTAATCATTGTGGCTTCCTTTGATCCTTGTTGAAATTGTCTAATTTCTGCTTTCTCTAATTTAATCTTCAAAAAATTAAATAGTAGAGATGAAGACCAGCTATGACTTCCAGATGTAGGTCTGTATCTTCTAGTGTCTTCTTGCAAAGTCCCAAAAGACTCCTTGACTTTTCTGTACTATGACCCTAGGTATTCACAAGACTTATGTTGGCTCTTTGAGTTTTGGCACTTCAGTGTGTTTATCTTAGCTCTAAAAAATCCAAACTGTAGTCATCTTCAAAATCAAAATGAGTCAGCTTTGAGTAGTTTACCCATTGAGATAATTAGCATTACCTTAAGAAGTCAAATGTGTCTTCAGAAAGAACCGGTATTATTCTTCCAATGATTTTATTCAGATAAAAGTCAAAAACTTACAGTATATTTTATATCTATATAAAAACTTATATAACATCTAAATTTGAGTAAAAAGAGCATTATCAACAGTTCTTAAATGATGATTTTTGTATCTCAGTGACATGAACTAGAAGAGTAACTTACATTGCTCTGGCATTTAAAAATATCTTTTGCATAACAAATCAACTCATACCTATTTAAATTATATTATATTTTAATACTGAAGACAAATCTACTGATTTTGGTACAAAATAGGAATATGAGTACCTTGAAGCAGGCTTCTTATCTTTGAATGAAAGTGAACTTGTTCTAATGTAAAAATAAGTAGGTCTTTACTATACACAAGATTAGGAAAAACACCAACAAAATGATTCATTAAGCTATTTTTATCATTCTGTTTATGATAGTTAAACTCATTTGCTATGCTTTTAATGTTTTTTTTTTTTAAGAGTTTATCATATAGCTATAAAGATGATAATGAAATACAAAACAACGTGCAAGTTTTCAAATCAAAGTTACTATTTTTGAAAGTAATTTTTACATACTTTTTTCCCCATAACTCTTGTAATGATTTATACAAAATTTTTGCAAGTCTTATAGTTTGAAAACAAATCTATAAAGTGGTAGTATTTCAAGTTAGAAATTTGGTTAATGAAGCAAGTACATAATAAAAATAAAAGATTAAGACAATTATTGTTGTTTAATCAGTTATTGGGGATAATCAGTGTGTGCTTATTTTAACCAATCAGAGATTTACTCATTTTAATTGTGTATTGCCTAGTCTGCTGTGACTCTAAATCAGAT